CCAGATGAGGTCATATTCATAGGTTCTGGGAACTCGTACATGGACGTACCTTTGGGGGCCACCATGCAACCCTCTGCAGGGGGCATATCAGAATTTTGAGGACTATGTAATAATCAAACATTTGAAATAATGTTTGAAATAATTTGAAATAATAAACATAATGAAAACACCTTAATTTTTTAAAGTTTATTTCTTTATTTAAGTAATCTTTACACCCTCAAACTCACAACCCTGAGATCAAGATGAACACGCTGTTCCGACTGAGCCAGCCAGGTGCCCAATATTGTCTTAATTTTTTAGCCACAGAATTCCCCTGCTTCCCTGACCCAGAGTCTTGCTCTGTATCTGGTGAATAGCTTTAAGAAGCCTTTCCAAGATGGGTAGGTCTGATTAACTGCAAAGCTTTTATTTTGCTGAGTACAGAGTTTTGGAGCCAGAGCTAAATTGACCAAGACAGAGGGGACTGGAAGACCCACATGGGGAAAGGATGGAGAGAAGGCAGGAAGCCAGCTGACAGCTCAAGAGAATTCAGGTTATGAAATGGATCCATTCCTTCAACAAATTATTTATCTCAAGAAGGCTGCGCATGCCAACCTTTGTGCCAGGTACTGGGGATGTGAGAGTGAACACACACAGACTCGGTTTCTCCTCTCGAGAAGTGTCCGGACTTACTTATCCCTGTGATGTTCAACGCCAACCCTCTTCACCTTCTTCCCCCCAGATTTTCAGCAAAATCCACACTGCTTGCTAATGCTCTGGAGATGAACTTGAGGGAGGAGATGGGGGGAAATAGAGGCTTGTTCCTGGGTTGGAATGAGGCAAAGCCAGAGACTCTTCCAGAAGGCCACATGTGGTTTACAGGCGCTAGGGGCCAACCAGGGCTTTTCAGGCGTCCAGCATCTGCCTCCCCTTCTGATGAAGCAGGAGCACTTTGATTTGCTTTTGAACATTACTACTCCCCCGTTGCAGAGAGTCTTAATGGGACTGCCAGTCAAATGTCTTTCCTTCAATTCCTAGTCACGGGAGTCACAAGGTCAAAGGTAGGCCAGTAAGACTTGGGAATTGAAGCCTAAGGGAGGAACACAAGCGTAGAATAAAAAATGGCGCTGATTTGGCCTAGCAGATGTGGTTCAGATTCGTTTCTAGAATCCCTGAATCCCTAGTACCCCTTCCATGCCAGGTGGCTCAGCAGCCCCTTGGGATCTGTGAGGTACTATATATCCAATAAATTTTCTTTCGCTGAAGCTAACCGGAGTCGTTTTTGGGTACCTGTCACCAAAGAACCCTAAATGGTGGCAGTGACCAGGAAAAGTCCCAATCGCTCCAATCCACGGAGATGTCTGGGCACCCACAGGTGTTGAAGGCATGCTGTGGTGACAGATGCATCTTACATCCTCGGAGCCGGGTTTGCGACTTCTGCATCACGACAGTTTTGTTCAAAATCTGAAGTCTCCCTTAAGCTAACAGTGATTGCCCTTAATTAACAAGGACACTCACTGTACCAGTGCCAGACCTCAGAAAAAGGCAACAGGGTGAGAGAGAAGAGAGAGGGATCAAATTCATCTAGGTCAGATGCAAGCTCCCAGTGACAACTTGAGCTTAATAAACATTTCCCGGGTGATCCTTACACGTTGCACCTGAATTTAATCCCACACTCCCTGTGGGTCTTTCTGGCCCTGGTGACATGGTAGGGGTCTCTCCTTTCTAGGCGCATATGCATTTGTACAGGCCACAGGGGAATTCCTCAGGGGAGACGAAGCTAAATTTACACCTTCCATTAGTCCTCCCGTGTTCTCGCCTGCCTTCAGTCCATGCGGAGTCTCCTTTTGCCCTAATCACAAGTATCACACCCCTTAGCTGGTAACTACCCGTTGTAGACAGAAGCTGCTCGACTGCTTTTTAAAAGTATCTTAACTTTGAATCCAGTCTTCAGAGGATCTCCAACCTCTTCTAAATCCTCTTTCAGGGAACCAGGATTCCCCTGTATTAACAAGAAGTCCTCTAAGACTCCTGGGAGACCGGACCTTTAGCTCTCTCCCTTCACTGAACAGGTCAAATTCCTACTCAACCTATCACCCCATCCAGTAGAAAGAACACACCCTGAAGACAGGGAGCTGGGTCCTAATTGCATTTGCCCAAGCACTACTCAACAGACACCGAGTTTTTATCATAGATATAATTTATATAAATATATTTACATAAAAATATATTTTATATTTGTAATTTATATATTTAAAAAAAAATTTTTTTCCCTTTGCAAATCACAAGGCAATTCCCCCTAGGGATGAGAGAAAGCTAATTTTTACCTCCAACTCAAGTTTCCGAACGTTCTGCCCTGCCTTTGGCCTGGCAAGAAAAGAATCTTCTGTTGTCACTTCATGCCAGATGCTGAACTTTGGTTTCCGTAACGGCAGGGAAGCCGGAGAGATCTTAACTCAGAGCTGGGTTCAGATCTGGTCTTCGGCACCGTGTAGCTGCTTGACCTTAGGTGCCTTAACCACTCTGAGTCGGAGGTTTCCTGACCTAAAAGATGGGGATAATACTCCCTATGTCACAAGCGGGTTCCCAAGCCCAGCTGAATAGCAGAAACTTTAAAAACACGCAGCATGAGAGCGATGCAAGAAACGTGCGCCCTTAAAAAAATCCCAAGTGACTTTCCGGGACAGGCACACCGGGAAGCATAGATTGGAGGCTTACGTTGCATGAGGCAGAGAGTACCTGGCACATTTGGGACCCAGGTGTGCTACTGAAAACAGGATTCTCCCCTACCGGAGTTGGGAAGGTAAGGGGACCTTACCCCTATGTGTGGAAAACCGTTCTGGTCTTTCTCCATACGTGTAAGGAACTACATGACATGATCCTTTCCCCTAACCCCAGGGACACTCTGGAGAGCAAACAAGTCAACCGGCAGGAAGCACGTTTTCTCTACCCCGCCTTCCAAGACCCTAAGAGTGTAAAGTCCAAACAGAGAGGATTAGATTTTTCCCAAGGTGAAGCTTTGCTATTAAGTTAATGCTGAGAATTTTAAAGGGGAAGGGACCTCAGAAACAGAGTCGCCATGAATGAAGCGCTGGCAACCGGCATCGCCTACTCTGTCAGTGTTACTCAAAGGCAGCTTAGAATACAGTGATACTGGCGATATGCTGTCCCCTGAAATAAGCAGGATCATTCCTTTCTTTCTGGAATTTCTCCAATACCAGGAAAGGGGTGCAGCACTGCTCCTGCTCGTCATCCCACCTCGTGATGAATGAAGAGGGCCCAAGGCCTGGCATACAAATGTGGATGGTTCATGCTCAAGAAAATAAAAGCTCATTAAGGTCATGGCACCTGTCTTCTAGTCTCTAGGTTCTTCTGTGGCAAGGGGATTAAACTCCTTCCGTAGGGTTCCAGGAGTCGGACCCATGGGCTACAGAAATGCCATAAAGCACACTACAACTGGATAGGACTCCTAACTCGATGGTTGTTAAAATCAAAACCCAGAGATTCTGCTTCCAGGAATGAATCCTACAGATATTCCCCGAGATGTGAACAGAAGTAGGTACTAAAATAGGCTGTGTCACTGGAAGAGCAACAAATCCTGGACACTCCTAAATGCCCGAGAGAGGACGGGTTCCAAAAATTACATCATATCCAAAAGAGGCAGCTGAGTAGGTACATGGAAACTTAAGGCAGGCAACCGTCAAGTTGTACATTTTAATTTACAAGTTTTACCGATAAAAAGGCTTGGTTACAAAAGGGGAAGTTCTTTACACAAAATAGGGATTTTTATTTCACTCATTAAGAGAATCCACTGGCATGTCTTGCCTCACCAAGTCAAATCTCAAATAGCTTGCTTAGCTGAAATTATCCCCAAAAGACAGGTCATCCAGACAAAATTATCAGCTCCCTAAATGTGTTCGAGAAGAATTTAGTGAATGTTTTGCCTTGAACACAGGTACTCTGAAGAATACTTGTAACCCTTACCAAAGCTACCTCTAGCAGGCAGGTGAAGGGTTAAGAGGGCATACAAGAGCGTCGAGCTCACTTACCGTGAGAACCTTCTCACACAGTTTCCGCCCCTGTACGGTGAGTGCGCATGCGACACCACAGGAATAATGACTTCTAAAAGTTTATAAGTAAATTTTATTGTGGCCACAGGTCAACAGCAAAAACATACGACAGTTAAGGTTCAGATTCTCTCCACCTCCCATTTTATCGTATAAATTAAATATGGAGAGGTACCCACACGCTTTTATTAAAAACGAGCTGTTTTCAAATCCCCACTTCCGGGGAGAACACACATCGCTACCGCTTAAGGGTGGGGCAAAGTAGAGTCATACTGTTAGAGCACAAAGTTTCCTGAGAAGAAACCAATCAAAATGTTCAAAGCCTTTCTAGCGGACTCCAGGTATGGTGGCCACCACTCAACACTGCTCCTGGCAGGCTGCATTCAGACTAAAAACATAAAATAAGAAAGTGTGAAACACCAAAGCCTTCAAAAAACTTTATTGGGGGATAAGCCTAGCTCTGATGGGAAAAGCCCACCTATGAAAAAGAAGTTGTGGGTATTTACGCTGGTCTGACGTACATTCGTGACTTGTACATTCACGGCTCAAAAAAAAAAGACCCTCAAACACAAAATGATTCTAAAGCCATTACAACCCAAAGTTATGGGATTCACCTAGATGCGCTTGTATTAGCTCTTAAGATATGATCTCTGTACAGAGGAGCTCACCTTCCTCATGATTAAATGAAGCACGTGGCCATTAAAAGGAGAGCAGGGTGGGGGGGAAACAGACAATTTAAATAGGGTATAAGGTTCTCCACTCCACACTATTCAATGAACAGGTATCTAGAAGGAGAATGAAATGTGATCAATGCCCAGGTGTCTCTCAAAGAGAGCGACTCCCTGTGGCAAATGCAATTTGGAACTTTTAGCACAACACAATCCAAACTACTCTGGGTCCACACAAAACCAGTATGCCCTACGTGAGATGCAAAGGGATTATGCCCACCACAGTTCACACCTAGCCCCCCTGCAGCTCCACTATAATTTTCATCACTTCACTTAAGGAAAAAAAAAAAATGCCTAGCAACCACCCTCATGCCTCATTGACCCCAATCTGCGGCCCTGGCTGACACAGTGGCGCTTTTTTTGTTATAAGAAACATCTGTACAGGTGGCAAATGGTTGCACCTGACATCAGGTCACAGCAATTCCAAAAGCTGACGAAGCTCTCCATCCGCTGGTCCAGTCTTCTCCCCTATTGTTATAGTTCTGCCACCAAAGGGGGGAACATGGTGGACAAGTTCTTTGTGACCAAGCCTTGGCAGAAGTCAATAAATAAGAGAGCTTGTCACAGGCAGAACCATTTTATGGGCAACCTCCTCTAGCTGCAAATGCGGGGGTTGGGAAAAGAAGGGGGGAGGCGTGTGTGCGAGAAAGAGGTTAAGAGTCCCTTTGTCAAGGGTTTGGTGACCCAACCCCACATGCCCTGCTTGGCGCCAGCAGACCGGGACCTGTCAAAACCCAATATTCAGACAGAAAAGGAAGAGAAGACACCAGAAAAATATAGTCAGTTCTGAAATTTGCACAGTTGATATTTGTTCTTCCTAGCAGTAAGGACTTGAATGAGAATCACGAAACTTGAGGAACACTTATATTTTTCTTCAGGATTTAAAAAATTGTGTCTTGTACTGAAAGACTACATTCAGTGTGGGTCAGGTCCAACAGCGTTTGCTAGAACTCGGTTGTTAAGCACACCCAGCACTGGGAGGAAACTTCATCTGAGCGGAGTGGCTGGTGGGCCGGCCCGAGGCCGCTCCTTCACTGGTCCCCAAGCCGAAAGCCCTGTCCCCAGTTATGTCTCCCGCCTCCGCCGTTCTGGTCCGCAGCTCGCCTCATGCTAGCAGGGGGCACACCGAATCCTGACACCCCTCCTCTCCTGCTGGGCAGCCAGCGGTACCTGGAGTCATGGGGCAGGGGAGGAACAAAGGGAGAGAAACAACACAATCACTTCCATGAAGTGATCTGACCACTCAGTGCATCTTCCTTTCTTGCTGTCCCCATGGCATCTGTCTCACTCTATTACGTTAGTCCGGCCAATGGAAGGCCAGGGACAAGGGCTTACTTAACTCTGCCTTTTCAGCACTTCGCTCAATGCCCTGGCCGCAGGCGGTACTCACTTTTCAGGTTCCTTAAATTTACTCCATTTCCAGCCAAATTCACACTCTAAAAAAATTTGTTTTCTGATTACAAAAGTAATTCATGCAGAACAGTATGGAAACAAAAATATTACTCCCACAAGCCCAACAACCAGAAAGAGCCACCTATATATAGCATTTTGACGTATCTAAATACGGATCAAACTGGATCAAAGCATACAAAACAAATGCACGTGCAAAAGACAAAGCCGCAGCCTGCGTGTCGAGGCCCACAGGACATCTCCCAGCCGTGTCCCCAAGGGGGACTGGAGATGCCCTCTCCGTCTTGGGAGTCTGGGCTGGGTTTTTCATGTGAATTCCTTATCTCCCCTCCGACAGCATTCTTTCCATCTCCAAGATGGTGTGAGAGCTGAAGCCCCCAACGGGCACACCCCATTTCCCACCTGACAGATTAATAAACCAAGAATCACAGAACAGCTAAGAAAACTTACACCCAGGTCTGTGCTCTCTAGAGTTTTGCCCTCCCTTGACTCTTAGTAAACTGAGAATGTGTTTAAACTTATTCCACTTAGTGGCTCAGTCGTTAAGCATCTGCCTTCGGCTCAGGTCATGATTCCAGGGTCCTGGGATCGAGTTCCGCATCAGGCTCCCTGCTCAGTAGGGAGCCTGCTTCTCCCTCTGCCCCTCTCCCTGCTGGTGCACAAGCACTCTCTCTCTAATAAATAAAATCTTAAAAAAAAAAAACAAACCTATTCCACTTAGATCCTAATGTTTACTTGAAGTGTTTACTTAATGTGTGCTTGAAGGCAGAGACCACCACCCAATACCCCTGCTCAAACCCCGTATGGCACCAAGAGCAACCTGTGAGCAGTGACTTGCCCGCGGCAAAGAGCCGGCCGAGCACGACCACCTCGTATGGCGGGTGCTGCCTGTGCACAAATTCACCTCCACTTACCACAACCCTATGGGGCAGGCACTATTATTAGTATCCCATTTTAGAAATGAGAAAACCAAGGCAAGACTGACAGTCAGGATTCAAACCCAGGCAGCCTGGCTCCAGAGCTGGTACCTGCACCACTCCCTGCACTATGGGCCTCGAACTGCAGCTGAGGGGACACACGGGGCACCATTCAGGTGACAGCAGTTCATGACTGGAGTCCTCATTTGTTTACATCATCCCTGACGCCTTCGTGTTCCCGCCGAAACCAGACAATGAACCCCTTTCAAACAGAAAAATAACTGCGTGCAGAAGAGGATCTACTTTTCTAACTGGAATGCAGAACAGCGATCTTAGAATTCTAGAACTCCCATCTTCTCTTTTAAACAAACACAGCTTTGTCTTTAAATCAAAATGTATCTCCAACTCCTGATTTCTCAATATCCCTGATGTTCCGGGACAATAATATTCCTCCAAAGTGTATAATAAAATAGAACACTTAAAAAGGGCTGTCTTGCTTTGCTTTGTACTATAAGACAATATGGAAGCCATCTCCACTGCTTAAACGGATAGTGAAATTAAATGCAAGTAATTAGTACAAAAAGACACCCAATTATACATAATCAACAAAAATTTATGGTAATTTCAAAGCAGTTACTGCTTTTGCAAAGAGCTACATTTTGTCATCTGATCTTTATGCAAAATTTAACAGAAGGGCTTTTCCACCAACAGAGAACGCTCAAATGGAAGGCAGGCTCCAGTGTGCCCTGGATTTTGCCGCTAGAATCTCATACACTTTGTTGCCTGCAATTGAGAAATATCTCTAAGCCGGTAAGTCAGAAATATGGCCATTTAAAGTAAAAGAACTGTTGGCTACCCACCAAAGGACCAAGTTGTTTTTTTTTTTTAACTGATGCATCTGCCATCTGACTTGATAAACCGAGATCAAAAATCCAAACCTGCTGTTATCGTGTCCTTTGATAATTAGAAAGCAGATTGGTCATTTGTTTTTTTAGCCTGAAGGCAACTCAAGGCTCAGAAGACAAACAAGTTTCTTTCTATGCACTTAAAAATAAATAAATAAATAAATAAAATAACAGTGTACTTCTGTTTGTATGTTATATTTCACAGAAGAAGGCTTTCAAAAACCTACCCCTGACTGACAAAGGCGGTGGGGGGAGAAGGGGCCTCCTCAAGTTTCACTGCTCTCATTGACCCCTCGGAAGAATGACGAACCGCAAAACATTAAAAATGAGCAAGATGTGTGGAAGGGTTGCTTTCTTGAAGCTTTTCAATGCAAGCCAGGACTGCATGTCCCCAACTGGGGATCAGGCGCGGTTGCCGGGCAGGCTGGGACACCCGGATGGCAATTTCACTGGTCCCTTCTTCAACTGCCTTTTGCTTCCCTGACAGAATGGCCAGCTACTTTCATGCTTCAGTGTGTCAGCACCTCTTCTGGCTCGTAACGCCCCACCCCAGCCCCAACGTTAGGAACAAAGCTAAGAGCTCATATCTATCGGACACCCACCACCCTGCGGCCAACAGCGGACCTTACCACCTGCAGTGGTGGGAGACAGGGTGGCCCCTCGACTTACAGATTTGCAAGGTGAAGCTCGGAGGTTTTATTAAGTCACTCCCCCCGACCCCAGCCCAATGATCAAAACTGGCAGATGAGGGAAAGGGGATTCCAACCCAAGTCTGTCTCAGAACCAAAGCAGTGCCCCCAGCCTCCTCACTTGAGTGAACCCTAAAAGCAGACAAAGAACCAGCACACACTCCCCAGGTGCTTGGACTATACGAACCTCAAGTTTCTCACTTTCACTCTGAAAAGTCCCCCAAATTTTCTGTTCTATAATAGCTCATAGAAAAAGGTCTGGAATTGCTAACCAATGGCTTAACTGAACCCCTTTGCCTCTTCTCTGGCCAAATCTTGTGTAAAACTGATGCTGGCGCACAGCGGCCCACACCGGAGCCTCGCACAGTGCCCCGCCTGCCCATCCGAGCTACTCTGTGCCCAGTGTCGCCTGCCGTGAGTCAGCAGCAGCCCCCAGCTGAAAGGGCTCCACGGCGAAGACCGAGCTGTGGCTTTGATCCCTGGCTTCCTGGGAATGTGTGACCAGGGCCAGTCTGTTGGCTCACATTTCTCCATCTGCCAAAGACGTAAATGCTACCCCTCATGGAGTTCTGAGGAGGACGCCTAAGACACGGGCAGTAATATGGCTGTTCGATGAGAAAACAAAACAAAAACAAAAAAACACTTACAAAAACTGAGGCGTGGAAAGAAAATTTCTTCCTCCCAAGTCCATCGGGTATCTGAACATTAGGAAGAAATAAAGATGTCCAACAAGATTTCCAATTAGCTCATTGATTACCCTGCAAACAAAGAGCCAAATTAGTTTGAAGCCCTTCAAGCAGTCAAGTGAGATGTAGCCAGTAGTACCCAGTAGGCCAGGGAAGAGAGCCCTCCTGGCAGCCCGTTTCTGGTCCCCGGGAGCCTGTGACAGCCCCACAATGAGCCCTTTTGTAGTCTGCGCGGCAAAGGTATTCCGAGGGGAGGGGAAATCGGTCCTGCGGGGGTCTGTGCTCTGCGAGACCAGATGCCCTCTGACAGCTCTTTCAAGGCCCAGCTCATCCTCCAAATATTGTTTTTGCTACTTCCTGCCTCTAGAGTAGGAAAGTTACAAAGCAAGCTTCTGACCGCTTCAGTCATAAATACCGTGTTTGCAAACCCTGGGCAAATCGGAAGGGTGGCAAGAGAGAAGCATGGGAATGGGGGGGGGGGCGGGCAGGGAACGTGTGTTTCCCCATTCCTGGAGCCACACACTTCTCCCTCGCCTCCTGCATCCTTGAGTGTAAGACATCACAGAGATCACTTTGTACAGCTGACCTCTGCCTTGTAATCCTAAAATAAACATTGACCTTCGGTTTTCCCAGCGCTTACATACAGGCCACTTCAAGGTTTTATAGATCCACTCCTACTATCACGTATCCTTCTGTGTCTTCTCCTGCCACAGGCGTCCCATCAGGGACAAATCAACATTTGCAGCTACTCCCAGACTCTGCCCTTCTGGGTGGCGGGGCGGCTGTACCACGCTCAGAACTTGCTACGCTCGAAACAGAGTCTGTTTGCTCAATTCCCTCATTTCTATCACTACACGGCAGACATTAGGACCACACAGAGTAGCTATGTCAGACATATTAAGAACTGGTACTATTAAAATCTGTTAAAACATTTAAAGTATTTTGTAGCATAGGAAGTGGGAGTTCACAGAACAGTTGCATCTTGATATCTTCCTTTTAAAATTCTGACTGGATGCACTGAAGGTTTTCCTCTCAGCTCCAATTCCAGGCTAGAAATCTGAGCCTATTTGGCTAAAACTTCTGTACTATCAAACCACTTACAAAACTACTTCCCATCTGAGAATTTGCATTTCGATGACTGGCGAGCAGTCTTCAAGGCATCCTGGAAATGCCTCAAGGATAAAAAACATAGTAATTTTACGCATAGTTCTTAGAGGAGTCAAGCGCGGACACAAATTAAATTAGTTCCTTGTTTGCTCAATCTGGACAATGAATCCAGAAATATTTATTCAAAAACACATAAATGGAAGTACACAGTACCTAACGATGAGCTAACAAAATAACAATCATTCAATGCTAAATGTGCTTAAAGCCCTGCAATTTAATCAGTTACATCAAAATGAAATTACAGTTGATCCTTGAACACAGAGCTGAACTGTGTGGGCCCACTTATACGTGGAGTTTTTTCATTAGTATAGTACAGTTCTGTAAGTGTATTTTTCTCTTCTTAAGATTTTAGTAATATTTTCTTTTCTCTGACTTACCTTATTCTAAAAATGCAGTATATAATACATGCAATAATACATTATAACTTAGCAAATGCGTTAATTGACTGTTTATGGTATCAGTAAAGCTTTGGTCAGCAGGAGACTATTAGCAGTTAAGTTTTGGCTGAGATAAAGAATATACACTAATTCCCAACTATGCAGGAGCTTGATACCCCAAGCCCCCATTGTTCACGGGTCAACTGTATTTCCTAAGTATAAGGTCCCAATACATCAATGCTGAACTTCTTTAAAGTTTATAAAGATTAGAGAAGGAAGATAAAGAATAATGAAGTCTTCTAAGAATTTGTTTCCAATTAAGTAAATCTACTATCACTTACGAGCCTCCGATGATATAGTTGAATCCAAGGATAACCCAAGGTAAATAACAGGCCTAGGAAAAAAATACACACAAACATGAATAACCACACCTAAAAAGGATACAGCTGCTAGGGGGCTGGAATGGGTAAAGATACACTGATAAGAGCTTTATATAAATCCTTTAGAAAGTCACTGCAAAAATTTCTCAAACCAATCTAGCATTATTGTACTTAAAACTTCCTATCTAAAATTTTACTTAATGAGAGGCGCCTGGGTGATGCAGTTAAGTGTCCGACTCTTTGGTTCTGGCTCAGGTCATGATCTCAGGGTCATGGGATTGAGGTCCGTGTGCTCAGTGGGGAGTCTGCTTGAGATTCTCCCTCTCCCTCTGCCCCCAACTTGCATGCTCATGCTCTACCTAAAATAAAAAAATAAATCTTTAAAAAAATAAAATTATACTCATTCATATATTAGTAACTGGAGAGACAAAGTACTTTGCCCAGGGTCAGATACAATACATGCCCCTCTGAGTGAATATTAACAGAGTTTCACAAAGGAAATGGGTGTCCTATGGACGCTGATGAAAACATGACCCATAAGAGAACCACATTAAGACTCCAACTAGGAAACTGCTACCTACGAACTAAAAATACCCCATCCTTTTAGGTTCCTCTTTTGCGTATTTCACAAAATTACTCTGAATTTTTATCTCATTACACACTGATGCCCTGAACTAATACTCTCCCCAGTGAGAAAGCTCTCCAGCTGAATTCAACATTTGAGCCTCTGACCAGACCAGATTCAACGCATCATACCAAGAGGTAAGGAAGCTGCAAGGAACTTCATGAACGAGTAAAGAAAGGGTTGTATATAAAGAACTTGGAAGGCAGAATGCGGTAAGTACTATAAGAGAAACATAACATATTGCAGAGCCCAAAGGCAAGACTAATTCCAGGCAGGAGACCGGGAAGTATGTTCAGTCCCAACTCAAACGAAGAACAGGTAGGATTTGCAAGAGGAAGAAAATAAAAAAGATGTTACTGGTGGAAAACTGTGAGCAAAGGCACTAAGGGAAGTGTTTGGGGACAAAAACTGTTTTAGATAAAGTGTAAAATACGTTACAGGGAATGATAAGAACAGATTTTAAGAGACTGCTCCCCATTAGTATCTTTCCTTCCCCCTCTCTATCACACACACAGACATGAGATCGCTCAGGGTCACATGCCTGAGGGGCCCGAAGCACAGAGGGAGTGAGAATAGTCAGCAAAGGATTCCAGGTTGGCTGAAGACAGGCAGGGGGCTGAGCCGGGGAGAGGGGGCCTGCCTATGGTACACTGCTCTGCAGTGACCTCTTCTGGACGAGTCAGAAAGCGCATCTCTGAGCTGAAGAAGGATTTTGCCGAGACAAATGAAAAGGAAATTTTTCCAATTACGTGAAAGTACCTTAAATCGTGTTCCAAACCAAAATGACACAATCATGTCTCTGTTCAGCTGGGCCCAGACATAAAGTACTGACATGATCAGAGGAATCATCAGCAACTGCAAAAGAAGTCAACATGTAAAGAGACAAGGCTCCACAGGCACTTCAAACAGGCTCAGCAGGAATCTTTTTTTTTTTAACCTCTCCCCTACAAACAAATTCTCATATGGCTATTCAAAAACCAAAAAGAAATTCAATGATCAGAATTACCAACTGATCCTTTCAGTTAATCAATTATACAATGCATGCTACAAAATCCTGGAATAAAATACAATCATTTTAGGTGTATTCAGAAATATCAGGGTCAAGCTTGGTTATTCAAAAAAAAGAAGGCAGTAAAACTTTACTTACTATATATTCTCAATTAAAAAAATACATATCCACATAATGCATAGAAAATACTAGAGAACCATCACTCCCGATGCACAAACATAACAAAAAAGCCTGAAATGAGCAAGGAAAGGAACGGTTTAGATAATTCATATAAGATGTTCAAAACAAAAGTTGTTGTAATTCTATAATTTCAAAATGCCACGTAATTAACCACAGGATTAATACAATCTAAGCTTCCCTCAAAGGCCATTCATTGTAAATCTGAAACACATAAAAGGGCAAATAGTTTCAAGGGACACTTACCTGCATATCCATCGCTAAGCCAGTAATCTTGGTTTATAAAGTTAAAGATCAGAAACAAACAAAGCATTGTGCACCTCACATCAGTTCATTTCATTCCTGTGTTCTGAAAGAAAACCCTTATTCTAGAGTTCAGGTTGTTTAAAAGATCCCAGAACACAAAGATATCTAATAACCTCCCTTATGGATATTCTGTTATACCATATGATGACAAAGAAATGCGAGAAGTGAACTCCTCTGGCATGTGACTCAGTTGGCCCCCTTGCATCCTCTTTGCCTTGCCCTGCGTTTTAGCATCTCATCTTCAACTGGAAGATGGAGATACCTGAGCCCGGAAACAAATTAAGGATTCTACTCACACCCAGGGCTCCACAGCATAGTTGAGGTCCAGAACAAATTTTTTTTTTTTTTTTTGCCTTCCCTTAAAGGAGGGGAAAGGGCATCCAAAGTGCCTCATGTCCTGGCTCCTGGCCAAGCTTCAATGGCAGCTAAGCCCCAGAGCAATGTTAAACTCACCAACTGGGCACAGACTGAGCCACTGTGCCCGCTCTGCTGCCCTCACCATCTGCACAGGTCCGCAGCTGGAAGAGAGCCGAGCAGGCCCCTTCCCAGCGCCGGGGCCTTACACAGGGACCGAGCTACTGTGTACGCCCCAAAGACAAGGACAGCGGCGAAGTCAGAAAGGAATGCTGCTCGTAAATTAATTTTCTGAGAAGGAGCACAGATTCCAAAAGCTGTCTCATGGCACGGAATCTCTTTGTGCTGCAGTCAACAAGCTGTCACACATGAGAACACAGAACTGGGAACAAGAAGAGGGACAGCAGTAAAATTCAACCAAATGTGGAAAACCCCACAATGGTAAGAGAACGCCATCACTCAAGGGCTCTGTGATTTACTACAGCTTTAAAAACAAACTTTAATTATTCGTAATTATTAACTGTAGCAAACAAAGACGCAAATACTATAATTTGAACTGTTGTACAGAATACTGTCTACTTCCCCAAACCTGCAAATAATGGTTTATTGCTGGCCCCAAACAACAGACTAAAGGATACCACGATGCAAATCCAGTTAAAGAGGAGCATGAATAAATAGTCTGCAGGCCTCCCATCAAAAGCTCCTAGAAACAAAAATAAGCCAAATGTCATGGTTCAGAATTTCAGAACAAAGTGACTCCTATGTAGAGAAATACTTCAAAAAGTTACAGAGAAAGCCAACATGAGAATATTTTTAAATTTCTCCTCTCAAGCAAAGAAAATTTTTTAAAACATCTAAAACCATGCCCGGGGCCACCTGGCTGGCTCAGCCGGTAGAGCGGTAGAGTGTGCGACTCTTGACCTCGGGGTTGTGGGTTCAAGCCACACGCTGGGTGCAGAGATTACTTAAAAATACAATCTTTAAAAATAAATTAAAAAAATATATAAAACCATGTCCTCAACAAAGCCTTGAACTAGAGTCAACTGAGCAAGGCTAATTGGTGTTCTCCTAACTGAATTCCAGTAAGGAACATGCTCCCCAACCACAGCAGGCTAAAAGACCCACGGGGAGGAGAATCAGTTCCACAGGCATCTGCGATCCCACCCCCTGAAGACCTCCCACCAGTCGGCCTCTCCTTCCTGGCTCTCCTCATGACCTGACGACACATCTGTAAAGGGTAATCCTTTCCCCCTCCACTAGACCATAAGCTCTGATGTGGGAGGAGCCCATCTGCCTTGCCTACCATCATGATTCCTCCAGCATGACTCTTGCTGGGAGGTTCTTACTATTGTTGTTAGATGCAAACACACACACTACCACTGGGTCTGACACTGGGCTTTCCGAGAAGATCTGATCTCCTTCCAGCTTACATTCTAGCAAGGGAAAACGATGCTGAAAGAGAGGAGGAATGGGGCCACAGCCAAACCTTCCCATAGCCTCTGACTCTTCACCTTCAGGGAGGTAGAAAGGAAAGACCCCCTTTCTACAGATGAGGACAAAAGTTACATGACCAGAGTCACATGGCTTGTTAGAAGCAGGGTGAACTCTAATTACTAGTCTAGTGCCTTCGTTACTACACCATATACCAGACTCTGTCTCAGTTCTGGACAGAATAATCAACACTGGTCTGGCTCTCCCTTCTCAGGGTGATTCCTCATGCCTTCAGCTGGAAGACTAGAAAAGAGGCAGAGATAAGAAACAAATGACCGTAAGGTCACACTAGCTCTCTCTAATAAATAAAAAAAATTTTAAATCTTAAAAGAATAAAAAATAAAAATAATAAAACAAGTTTCTAGCAGAAGTCTCTCCTTCCTTCCCCAATTTCTACCCTGGTATCTCAAAGGCACACTTTAGCCCCAGTGTTAAGTACGCTTAAGGGTAGGGGATCCCTATGGATGAATCAGAGGTAAAATTCTAATAACACTTCTGAATTTTAGTAATAGTTGTGCTTCTTTTGATTTGGTTTCGGCTTTGTGATTTCTGTTTGTTTTTTTTGAAAATAAACGACCAAGGTGGGGCTTAAACTCACGACCCTGAGATCAAGAGTCGCATGCTCTACCTACTAAACCAGCCAGGCACCCCACTGGCTTTATGATTTCTAAGGATTCTTTGGATTGAATACTTTAACTATTATAATCACATAAACTACAGTACTGTATTATTTGACAAGTTTGCAACTGGAAATTTACAAATTAACTGGTCTCAAACTGCAGTCTTCCAGTTCAAATCAGAAGCCTTATAAATAAGCCAACACTGCTGTATACTTAATTGAGTCAGGTAGGAAAATGTGCAGGTGGCAAGCATTTTGTCAGGATGTTAACATGAGGCTGTATGGTGCAGAGAAGACTGGGGATCAGTGAACCTGGGCTCCAGTCCTAGCTGTGTCATCTCAAACAGCTTTATGACCTTCGGGGCACGTCACCACCTCTCCAGACCATTGTTTTTTTGTCTGTGAAATCTTATTTTAAAAGGACAGGCCTCAAAAGTTCCTCTCAACATGAATGTTCATAGCAGCCTTATTCATAACAGTGAAAAATGAAAACAAGTCAAACGTCCATCAACTGATGGATGGAAAAACAAAACGTGATAATGATAATTCCGTACAATGGGGTCTTATTTCACAATAAAAAGGAATGACGTGCTGATACGTGCTACATGGAAGAACCCTGAAAACACTATACTAAGTGAAAGAAGCCAGTCACATATTGCATGATTCCTTCTGCTAAGAACTGTCCAGGGGTGCCTGGGTGGCTCAGATGGTTAAGCGTCTGCCTTCGGCTCAGGTCATGATCCCAGGGTCCTGGGATCGAGCCCCACATCAGGCTCCTGGCTCAGCGGGGAGTCTGCTTCTCCCTCTCCCTCTCCCTCTGCCTCTCCCCCTGCTCATGCTCTCTCTGTATCTCTGTGTCTCAAATGAATAAATTTTAAAAAATCTTTAAAAAAAAAAAAAATGTCCAGAAGAGGCAAATCTAAAAAGGCAAGAGTAAATTAGTGGTTGCATAAAAGCTTAAGGGGAAGATGAGGTTCAATAGAAATGGGGAGCGGCTGTTGATGGGTACAGGGTTTCTTTCTGCGGTGATAAAATATTCTAAAATTAATTGTAGTAATGGCTGCACAACTCTATGAAACACTCACCAAATTATACACTTTAAATGGGTAGAACTGGATAGCATTTGAATTAGAGGTCAATAAAACTTTAAAAAATGCCTCTCGGCTCTAGAACTTCAAAATGCTCTGTGACTGGCTAGTAGGGAAGAGGGGGAACATAAGAATTAAAGCAGACAAAAGAGATCAATGGGCTAATAATCCTGCAGATTGATCTCAAGTGTTATTCAGGTCTTACAAATTAGTTATGTTACCTGACTGGATAGTAGGGAAGGGTAAATGGGTTCCAGGATGTCAAGTAACCAAGAGAAAACAATTTACAAACAAAATGTGGTCATGAAATTATTGTAATTTACATTTCATAACAGATTTACGATTATTTTTTAAGTCCTTGGGTTTCAGAGGTAAATATTAAAATATTTACTGATAAAACGCTATCATGTCTGGCATTTGCTTCAAATAATCAGGGGTATGGGGACAGACATGAAGAGAGATCAGATAAGACCAGCGATGAGATCATTGCTAAAGCTGAGGAGGTAGGGGCACCTGGCTGGTTCAGTCGGTGGAGCATGCGACTCCTGATCTCCGAGTCATGAGTTCGAGCCCCATGTTGGCTGCAGAGATTACTTAAATAAATACCTTTTTTTTTTTTTAAAGGTGAGCTATAGTTAAAAGGGGGTTCATGTAGACATGCAGACACACACTACAACATGGATAAAAACCTTGAAAACATTCTACTAAGTGAATGTAGTCAGTCACAGAAGGACTCATAAAATGTCTCAAATAGTCAAATCCATATGCACAGAAAGCAGTTCAGAGCTTGCCAGGAGCTTGGAGAAAGCGGGGTGGGGGATGGAGGGGAATTGCTTTGGGTTTTGGGGGGTTGATGAAGACGTCTTGAATTAGATAGTAGTGGTGGTTGCCTAACACTGCAAAGAGACTAAAGACCAAGGAACTAGGGCGCCTGGGTGACTCAGAGATTAAACGTCTGCCTTCGACTCAGGTTATGATCTCAGGGTCTTGGGATCAAGCCCCGCTTTGAGCTCCCTGCTCAGCAGGGAACCTGCTTCTCCCTTTCCCTTTGCCTCTCCCCCTGCTCATGCTCACTCTCTCTCAAATAAATAAAATCTTAAAAAAAAAAAAAAAGACCACAGAACTGTACACCTTAAAATGGTTAAAACTGTCATTTTTTTGTTATGTGAATTTTATCTCAATGAAAAGGAAAACAAAGGTTCATTCACCTTTCTCACTACTTTTGTGTATGTTTGAAATTTTTCCATAACCAAACGTTTAAAGACCGGTCATGAGTCATCCACACTTAAGAGTTTACTACTAATGTAAAAACAAAATTACTCCAACAGCTTAACCCTCAATGAAATTATATCAGAGGAGTAGAATGCAAAGCAAGTCAGCATCATTATTAGGCCCAACTGGGACAGGGGAGAATAAAAATCACATATTCTGGGGGCTTTAAGGACCAAACCGAGATGTGGTGGTGAGAATCCTCCTTGTCAGTTTTGGCTCTGCCCAGACACTTCACTTCCCTGAATAAGGGGATGGGCTGGGTCCCTTCCAGTGGTAACAGTCAATGACCGGACACTTTGTATTAATATAATGATTTTCCTTTTTAAACGCACCTTGTACAAATGCCAATTTAAGGAAAAATCACATTTGACACCAAATGCCCATCCTTCTGCTTCCCTGCAGTTATGAGATTGATTCACAATTCTCAAACTGACTTAGATCTAAGGGTGGTTCAGAATTCTCTATCCTGAGCTAACAGCTAGCGGGTTTATAAAGTCTCTGGAGTCAGCCAACCTTTTCAAAATCATTTAGGCTTAACGAAATTATGTTCATGTTTTGACACAGCAGCATCACTTTACTGCTGCTCAGTATAAGCAACTCAGAACAGCACATAAGGTATTGTACAAAGGAAATAAGTAACAATTCACAAAGAAACTTCTAAGAAAAGATTTTTGTGAAAAAGCTTATCCGTAACATCATATGGGTAGTCATATCTGATAAACTACCATATTATTAAATCCCAGCTATGTACTTTACAAGTGAGTGATTTGATCACAGAGAACAAGGCTTTCATAGTACAAAGGCGTATTTTTCAACCCCAATCTGGGAGATGTATACACTTCAGCCCAACTGTGCATTAAAGGACCAGGACCGCCACATGACAGACATGAGATGTCAAACTTAAGTGAGAGGCACACAGCTCAGCCACGAGGGACCAGGTGCGGACAAGATGTGTAAAGCTCCGGGCTTCTACTTTTTCACTGAAAAATGGTGACACTGTTACTTATGCCTCATGATATTGTGAGGATTAAAAATCAAGTCATCTAAGCACCTAGGACAGTCCTAGCATCGGTCCAACTTTCTGAGCATTTGCCATCATTATGCCATTTCCTAAGCCAACTGCCCTCAAAATTCTTCCAATACGTAAACACGAACTGGTAAATTAGACAGAAACAAATCTTAAAACAACTATGGATAACATACCTGTTTCAAGTCGTGTAGAATACTGATATAAGAAATATAAATTGACCAAATAAAGAAATCCAGTTCCTGGACCCACAGGGAAATAAAAGGTGGCAGTGATTGGCCTCCAAATCTGTCCAGATTGAAACAGACACAGCGGTTAGTTTCTCTAAGCCTGGTTAATTTTTTTTTTTTTAACTAAACAAAATGCATCCTCGCAAAACATTCTCCTCTGTGATGATGGCTACCAAAGGGACACCACCAATATAATTCAGGAAAACTGAAGAAGAGCTCTCATCAACTACAATCATATCAATTTGCAAATTGACAGAATAAAATATTATAATATGAGCAATAAAAACTTCTAGCCAAGTTGAAAAAAATCAATACTATAGAAGTGCATGGTTAGTCTTTACTGGGATAAGGCATACAGCTAAGCCCGTCAAAACTGAACTATAAAGACAATTTCCAACAGGACAGTAATATCTCTATGTAGGAAAAAATATACTGGGATGACAAGCCTTCCCAAAAACTGTCATATTCAAAAAGTAGAAGTAAAACAGAAATGTTTGTATTCAAATCCCTGTGCTATTTAGGCAATATGGATATATGACTTCACAATATTAACTCCCCCCCAAAACAAAATTACAGAAGGGTCTACAGTCTCCCTCCTGACCCCCATTTCCCAATTCCCTTCAGCAACAACGATCCGTTTCTTGTATTTCTTTCAACAAATAATATTATGTTACTGTTCCTCCCTTTTCATCCTACCTCCCATTGCACAGTTCTACACCTTGTTTCACTCCCTTGACAAAATATTTTTGCTAGCTTTCTAGTATTCCTTTTATGTGAATGTCCAAAATTCATTTACACTGTTACAATGCCACAATGCCTCTTCTTGATTATCTTCTTTATACACGTACATGTAGGATAAAATCCTGTGAGTTAAACTGCTAAATTAATAGACAGTTGAGTTTAATTTTGGTAGACACTGCCAAATGCCTACAAAAATATTTAACCGACTTACACTTTCTCCTACAATGTAGATTAATGCCTGTCTTCCCTCCATGCGCTCATCATTTAGTGTATTCTATATTTACCAATTATGTGTTTGAAACTTTAGCATTTCCTTTCTTCATTTTTCTGCTAGATTTGCATTTCTTTATATATTATGGAAATTCCCCTTGCTCATTGTTGCAAATATTTTCTGGTCTGTCATTAAATCTATGCTTTGATGATATTCTTGCCATATGTTGACGTGTAGAAGTGTTCCTTTAATGGAGGCAAATCTATCCATCATGTATCCTGCTCACAAGCTACTTCTCCACTCTAAGAATATTAAAGTGTTCACAGTTTCACTGTAACACATTCCCCGTTCATCTCAGGAGTGAGGAAGAGATCTGACTTCTTTTTCTAGATGGTCCCTCAGCTTTCCCAATCCCATTTACAGAGTAACCCATACTTTCTCCATTGATTTGAAAAGCTACTTTCCTCATATATTTATTTCCTTTTGTAGTAAAGTCTCTTATTATATTAAAGTGCTATCCTGTTTGGAATTGAATTCCTATATCGATATCAAACTATTTTAATTTCTAGTCTTATAGTAAGTTACAATATCTGGTAAAGTTACATGATTAAATAATCCCTCTCCCATTTTTCTTCCACATTTGTCTTAATTTTCTTGGCTGGTCTCGAAATTTTATTTTCCTAAAAGAACTAGAACCGGCATCTTTATGATATCAGTGTGATACAATTCCCAACCAGGAAGAAGTCTTTCATTGCTTTTTATAAGTTTTGTATATACCCAACCACCAAAGCTGAATTACCTTATTGTTTGTAATATTAGCTGAGTTACCTTATTGTTTGTAATATTGGAAAACTGAGTCTCTTGGGCTTTCTAAGTATACAACTCCATCTGTGAATAAAATTTTGAATCTTATTCCATTCTTGTCTAACTCACTGGCTAGTACTCCCAGAACAATGTTAAATAATAGTGGTTGAAGTAGATGACCTTCCTAGGCCATAGGAAATACCAGCATGATGCTGGCTTTGGCCTTACTACATAAGCATCAAAGACATGACCCCTGCATCAAGTTCTCAAGTAGTGGGTTATCCAAAGAAGCAAAAGAGTGATCCCAAGGGAGGGGAAATCTGGTCTCGGAAAAACGAATACAAAGTCCGAAAGAATTGCAAGAGCACAATGAACAAACAGGTATTGCTGACAATTTGGGTGTGGCTGGAACAGAGGGCATAAGCTGTGGCGCCTGGCCAGACACCGAACTGCCCAGTTACATTCTCCAAGTGCAGGAATGTAACCCTCACAGCTCAATCCCCTGTGGAAGAAAATGGGCTTTGTGGGATACCCGAGTGACTTCAAACCAGTAAAACAAAATAGGTTGAAACTCATTCTGATTCATTCACAACTTCATCACAGATACAGTAGAGTTTAACAGAAAGAACACTGGAAGTGATTTGAGGAGGCCTGGCTGTTACGTCCTGGCTTACGACCCCTCACTCCTGAGCCTCAACATCCATCCGTAAAAGGGGAATGATCTACTAATACGTGCCCTATTTTGATTAGTGGTTAAAAAAAAAAAAAGTGTGCTCTTATAGTCATTTAGATGCAGTGACTCAGGAGACAGATTTTATAGTTGAAGAAACAGAATGAGAAAAGGTTAAATAATAGCTAGTAAGTGGTGGAGCTAGAATTTTATCCCAGACAGCTTGACTGCAGAGTTTATGACACAAAACCCTTAGTTTTTTTACAATGTCTCTCACAAGTGATATCATTATTATGAGGAATAATTACAAGTAGTAAACATTTTAAGTACTACTGTAGTTGCATAAGCCTGATTCTCCCTGCTTATGAAAAGCACTGAGCAAAAACCAGAAGCAAGCAAGCCCTGGCCTTGGCCCTTACATAGCCCTGGGGCCTTGGAAAAGTCTAGACCTTTGCGTTGGTGTCTTCATCTGCCCAATGACGTCTGCCCCGATTCCACCTTCCTTATTTCCAGATTTTGTAAAAGGCAGGAATTAAGAAAGTGGATTAAAAAGGTCCTTTGTTAAAAAAAAAAAATATGTGTGGCTGTATGATTATTATAATCTTTTAGGAAACACACACTGACATGATTTTTACGAATTCCCACTTTAAGCTACCTCCATATTCCTGTAAGTTACTCAGGGCCTGATTTTGGAAAAGAAACCTGGTTTTTTCCGACTACATCTTTCACTAACACTGACGACATGGCACTATTTTTAGCCACTGTGTGCACCTGTGCTTTGGAAATCAGTGTCTGTCAAAATATCTTACTTCTTTTCCCCGTTCATTAAGCTTACCCTTGAGTTATACTTGGCTTTCATTGATCTACGAGACTTAATATTATTTTTGTATTACTTTAAAATTATAATTTAAAAACACCAGGAGAGAGCTGATCTCTTGAGAAGAACACAGTGTAATACACTTCTGAAATCCCCACTGAAGGTGCCTAGCTAAATCCCCTCCTTTCCTCTGATATGTAAATAGTTAGGATAAGAAAATGGCTTGCTTTTCGGGCTTGGGAGAGGGTGGAGGCCCATTTTTCAACCCTGGAAAGCCTTCTTGGATCCCATCACGGGCAGCCAGGTGCAGCACCAAGAGCACAGGGCCTGTAGGCAGGAGAGGGGAGGGGAGCTGCTCGTTTTCACCCCACGGCACCCCATCATCACCCCAGCTTTTTCATGATGAAAGCTGGGCCCTCATGACCGTTTAGGTGATTTGCCCAGAGCTCCTCACTTCAAAGCAAGAACCCCACATCTTCACTGGCATATAAGGCTTTAAGGAAGGAAGAAGACATTGCTCTTTAGTTACTAGTCCAAAAACTTCTGTTGAGAGAGTGGGCTGCAGCCGTCCTTGAACTAAAAAATCTCCCAAACAATCTGCTACTGAAATCATTACAAATGCTACCCAGAGTCTAAAGTGGGGTTTTTAAGGTACCAAAAACAAAGATTTTTCCTGAAACAGTATGAGTTGATTGATTTGGAGTTAAGAAACTCTACACGGGTCACCAGACAAGAAAGGGGGGGAGCACCCATGTGCCAAATGCTGATGTTAGCTAAGTGTGGGCCTTTTTTTTTTTTTTTTTGGACATCCTAGGTAGGCAAGACAAACAAATGAAAGGCACTCAGGTTCAACTGCGGACTTTAAAAGAGCTATTAGAAGCCATCCATTCGAGAAACAAGAGTGGGGCGTGAACAAGGGGAAGCAAAAGAAAGCAAGGAAGTATACGACCATGTAGTGAACGCTTAGTCTCCCTCCAAGACCAGAGGCTTAAAGAGGACTGATTAAAACCTAAAAAAAAGAAAAGAAAGATCCCAGTTCACTCAAGGAAAGAGAAGTCCCCCAACATCCTTCCTGCTTCTCCTTCCAATATAACATACAGCTGGACCCACCTTACCACATCCTGGTTGATACCAACTCTAACTTTTCCATTCAAGCCAAACTTGACTTGGTACAGTCAATGATGGACTGTCTGTATGCCAACTGTATCCCTTGTATAACTGTGAAACTGGAGTAAAAGTATCATGTGGCTCTAAGGATGGCCAACCATCCAAGATTTGAACAACGATTACCATACACACACAAAGGAGCCTATGCAGATGACTGCTTAGTACAGAGAGTAACTCAGCACAAGTGTTACATTGTGGCCACAGTTGACCCTGACCTTAAACAAAGGATCCTGAAGATCCCTGGAGTTCCCATCATGTACATTTCTAACCATAGGTGCTTGCCCAATATATGAAGTAAAGAAAATGAGGCATAGGAAGCATACAAACAAAAGCACGGAGACATGGATGTTACATGGAATGACTGCTTGGCCTGTCAGACATCTACCAGAAGGTTTTTCTAACTAGAACATAGGGGAAAGAGATCCGTACCCACATCTGAGGCTCCGGAGTAGGAGGTGGCTGGGAGGGGGCCTTATATGACATGCTAAAGGGTTTGGACTTGATTGTGAGGTCAACAGGAGCTTATTTAAATTTTAATTAAGATGCATAACAGGATCAGATATTTTAAATGATCACAAGGTAGTATAAGCACAGACAAATAGATCATTGAAATAGAACAGAAAGTCCATAAACAGACCAATATATTTA